GTCCGGTCGTGGGGCCTGAACTCTGGGCCTGGGTGCTGTCCCTCAGCTCTTCAGCTCAAGGCTAGCGCTCTACCACTTGAGCCACAGCGCCACTTCTAGCTTTTTCTTTTTGCTTATGTGGTGCTGAGGAATCGAACCCAGGGCCTCATGCATGCAAGGCAAGCGCTCTACCACTGAGTCACCTTCTAAGCCCCTAATGACTGTTTTTGAGAGGTGAGCTCTCCTCTATTCCATTCCTAGCTTTTCCTTCTAAGTGTGTGTGTGCGCTCACGCGCACGTACATGCGCATACATTTGAACTCAGGTCCTAGATACTTGTCACTTAGCTTTTTTTCTTGTTCAAGGCTGGTGCTCTACCACTTGAGCCACAGCTCCACTTTGGCTTTTTGGTGGTTCAGTGGAGCTAGAGAGTCTCGAAGACTTTCCTGTCCTTCCTCTGTGTTCCCAGCTTGACCTGGTTCTGTGGGTGTTGGCTATTGGAGGGATCTAGAATGATCTATTGTTCTTCAGCTGTCTGAAGGCAGCATGACAGGTTCCAGTGCTCCCTGCTCTGGGAGTTCTGCAGGTCCCCCTCTCATCCTTGGCTTCATCCCCCAAGTTCTTCACTTTTTTTTTCCCATTGCCCCCACCCTGCGTTTCCCACTTCAGGTCTAGCCCCTGTGTGTGAGAATGCACACAGTTTCGTCTTTGTGCATCTGGCTTATTTCATCTTCCTGAAAATATGTTATTTGTTTTTGGTTCTTGGGACCTGACCCCCGGGCCTGGGCGCTGTCCCTGATCTTCTTTTGCTTGAGGCTAGCACTTTACCACCTTGAGCTGCAGCTCTACTTCTAGTTTTTTTGGTTGGTTAGTCATAAGTCTCACAGCATTGCCTGCGCTGGATGGCTTCAAACTGTGATCCTGAGATCTTGGCCTCCCGAATAGCTAGGATTACTGGCCTGAGCCACTGGTGTTCGGCTTTGTATTACTTCTTTATGGTTGAATAATACTCTGCCATGTAAACTGCACGGATGTTTTGCTGCTCCACACACAGGTTGATAGGCATCCCGGTGGCTTCCATCCATGGCTCTTGTGAACAGCGCTGCAGTGAGCATCCTGTGCAGGGCTTTCTGCTTTATGCAGTGTCGAGTTCCTTTAGCAGGCACTGCACATCCATTTTGTTTTCCCACGTGGCTTTGCTTTGTTGAGCAAGTGAGCCGTCCACACGCGTGTGAGCTCAGGGTGCAGCTGGCTTATTTCTGGTGATGTGAGAGACACATTATTTCCTTGGTACACAGCACCGTGAAATGACCGAATATTACTTTGCTTTGGTTTTCACACAGCATCCGCCCAAACCTGTGCTGCGCCAGTCCCTTATTTGCACACTACTTAAGAATAACTGGCATTCTCCCATGTCATTTCTTTACTTTTGTTTGTTGTGTGTGACAGTACTAGAGCTTGAACTTGGGGCCTTATGCTCTGCTTAGCTTTTACACTCAAGGCTGGTTGCCTCCACCACTTGAGCCACAGCTCCACTTTGGCTTTATGCTGGTTAATTGGAAGATAAGAGTTCTCACATGCTTTCTCTGCCTGGGCTGGCATCCAATCTCCATCCTCAGATCTCAAGTCTCCTGAGTAGCTAGGATTATAGGTGTGAACCACCTCACCTGGCTTCTTCTTCTTCTATATTTTAAGCCCTACTTGGGTGATTCCCAGTACAATGAACTGCTGTGACACAACTTTGATTTCCTATTTGTGGTGCTAGAGATCTAATCTGGGTCCTCATGAAAGTTAGGAAACACATGTGATTTTTTTTTTTCCTAGCCAAGGTTTTCTTGATAGATTCAATCAATGAATGTAGAATCTGTGGGTAGAAAAGTTTGGCTCTCCTCTCTCCCTGCTCCTTTTCTAGGGGGCATTAGGGGTGTTTTTTTTCAAGCTCTATAACATTTATTTATTTTTATTATTGTATTTTTGTGTGTGAAAATACCATACAGAGGGGTTACAATTACATGGGCAAGATAGTGAGTACATTTCTTAATAAGCATTGTTGCCTCCTCCTTTGTTTCCCCTTCCCATCCCTTCCCCTCTCCACCCCCCACCTCCACCCCCTACCACCACCTCCCCCCCCACCAAAGTTGTAAAGTTTGTTTTTTGACATAATGTCTTGTACATCTCATTGTTGTATGGCTATTGAAGATCTTCTCCCAATCCATGGGCTTTCTATTCATCTTGCTAGCTATGTCCTTTGCCATGCAGAAGCCTTGAAATTTCATGCAATCCCATTTGTCCAACCTTTCTTTGATTTGTTGTGTTTCTGGGTCTCTATTAAGAAAATTTTGGCCTGTGCCAAGGAGACCTAGGGTCTCTCCTATTCCATCCTGTAATGTTTTCAGAGTGTCTGCTTTGACCCCTAGGTCTTTGATCCATTTGGAGTTGATTCTGGTGCAAGGTGATATATAAGATCTAGGCTTAGTTTTCTACAAGTAGTTAACTAATTTTGCCAGCACCATTTACTGAAGAGGTTGTCTTTCTTCCATTCTATTTTTTTAGCTCCCTTATCAAAGATTAGATGGCTATAGGTCTGTAAGTTCATTTCTGGGTTTTCAATTCTATTCCATTGGCATTAGGAGTGTTTTGTTGTTGGTGGTGGATAAGGGGTTTGAACTCAAGGCCTGGGCACTGTCTCTGAACATTTTTTGGGGGGGTCTGGTCGTGGGGCCTGAACTCTGGGCATGGGCACTGTCCCTCAGCTCTTCAGCTCAAGGCTAGCACTCTTACAACTTGAGCCACAGCACCACTTCCGGCTTTTTTTTCTGCGTATGTGGTGCTGAGGAATCGAACCCAGGGCCTTATGCATGCAAGGCAAGCACTCTACCACTGAGCCACCTTCCCAGTCCCAATTTTTTTTTCTGAACATTTTTTACTCAAGGCTAACACTCTACCACTTTGAGCCACAGCAGCACCACTTCCGATTTTCGCGTGGTTCACTGGAGATGAGAGTCTCATCGACTTTCCTGCTTGGGTTGGCATTGAACCCCAATCCTCAGATCATAGCCTTCTGAGTAGCTAGAATGACAGGCATGAGCCGCCAGCTTCTAGCCTGATAGATACTTTGATGATATCTGTTTGCAGGGCTGGAGATTGAACCCAAAGGCCTGAACATTCAAGGCAAACACTTCACTTGCCTATAGCCTCTGTCTTGTGATTTTTTTTTTTTGGTCGGTCGTGGGGCTTGAACTCTGGGCTTGGGTGCTATCCCTGCGCTCTTCAGCTCAAGACAAGTGCTCTACTGCTTTAGCCATAGCACCACTTCTGGTTTTCTGGAGGTTAATTGGAGATAAGAGTCTCATGGACATTTCTGCCCCAGCTGGCTTGAGCTGTTTGAACTATGATCCTCAGATCTCAGCCTCCTCAGTAGCTAGGATTACAGGCGTGAGCAACAGCACCTGGCTTTTTTTTTTCTTTTCTGTTAGTTTGGTTAATGGATATAATGTCAGTGTCAGGAAATCCTAAGAACTGCAGTGTGTTACCCAAGGATGCTGGTTCTCAGCTTTCTCTTCCTCTGCTCCCCCAATTCTTGTTTAATCCTGATCCTTAAGTGCTGTCTTAGGACCCCATGATGTCTTTGAAGCCACAGTATAACCTGAAAAACCTTCTGGACAAGTTGGACCATGAGGAGTTAAGGACCTTCAAATCTCTGCTGAAGCCCCTCATGGAGCCAGGCGTGGACCTGCGGATCTTCCCCTGGGATGAGGTGGAAGAGGCCAGTGGTAGCAAACTGGCTGAAATCCTGGAGGACAGACTGCCGAGGGCGAGTCTCAGGAAGACCATCTGGTCTATCTTGGAGAAGATGGAGCTGCCTCAGATCCTGGGCAAGTACCCCGCCTGTCCACTGGCCCCACCTAGGGCGGGGACCCTGGGGGCTTAGGAACAGCCCTGTACCTGGTAGTTCCTGCCCACCATCTAAACTCTTCAGAAGGCTGAGATAGGAGGATCCCAGTTCAAAGGCAGCCCAGGCAGGAGAGGCCAGGAGACTCTTAATCTCCCATGAACTACCAGAAAGCTGGAAGTGGCACTGTGGCTAAGTGGTAGGTAGAAAGCTAGCCTTGAGCATAAAAGCTTAGAGAGCACAAGGTCCTGAGTTCTAGTCCCACTACCAGAATACATTCCCTGGCATTCCAGGTTGACTTACCTCAGCCAACAGAAGTCTACCCTGAAAGCTTCCCTCTTCCTGAAAAGAAACAAAATTTCTCTCTTTTTTTAACAGCAGAGTAGTACTTTGTTGTTTTTGCATACCACGCTGTCTTTATCCATGGAGATGTGAATTATTATAACAGTAATGTGCTACATCTTACAATGTGTTGTCCCATAAAGAAGACTTAATACTTGAGACCTTCTGGACCAACCCTAAAGCTTAATCTAGGAGCCCTGGGAGCCAGGAGCTAAGATTGATTCCCACCTTATCTCCCCCAAACCAAGCAAAAACCCGCACCGGGAGTGCTGTGTGACTTTGACGGCTGGAAGGTCATTCTGACCTTGGCCTAACTGAAAGTTCCCTCACCCCAGGCACAGCTTTTATTCCCTCCTGAGCCAGGCCACATGCACCAGCCCTGCCCCCAAGAGACTATAGCCTGTTTGTTGTTGTTTTTTAAAGTCCTTTTTTTTGCCGGTCATGGGGCCTGAACTCTGGGCCTGGGCGCTGTCCCTCAGCTCTTCAGCTTAAGGCTAGCGCTCTACCACTGGAGCCACAGCGCCACTTCTGGCTTTTTCTGTTTATGTGGTGCTGAGGAATCGAACCCAGGACCTCATGCTTGCAAGGCATGCACTCTACCGCTGAGCTACCTTCCCAGCCTGTTTTTTTTTGTTGTTGTTTTTATTTTCTGCTTCCTGATTAAGACCCCTATAGGCAAGACCCCAAATCCATCCACCTCCTTGGCGAGATCTCTGATCCCAAGGGAAGGTTGCTGTCCTTCCCTGTTCTTCAATAAATAGTCCTTGCTGGTTGGATGATCGAGTCCAGCCTGTTTCTTTTCTTTTCTTTCTCCTCCATTTTCCTAACACTGATTTGTGTGTGTGTACATGCATTTATACATATATACACATATACATATATTGAAATAAAGATATGGAATTGGACCATAGGGAATTATCTTTAACTGGGGCCATTTTGTTTTGGTGGATGAAGGTGACCCCTCCCCCCAGGTGATGGGCTTGCCTGAATTCCTAGCTGCCGGGGTGGAGACTTGGACTGTGTAGGTCACTGAAACCTGCCAGCTCCCGGGACCCTGCCCCCTGGCCAAGACCCTATTTAGGCTCCGACCAGCTCTGGCAGCTCATTTCTGGTTTCCTGGCTCTCGCCTGTCACCATGGATTCCCGCTGCAACTCTCCATTCGAATTTATCGGTATTGTCTGTTCTTTCCTCTCCTCCTCTCATTGCTCAGTGTTCCCACAGGGTTAAGTATATTTTAGGCAGCTGCAGATTTTTAGGACAGGAGTCACAAAATATAGACATATATGTAACATATAATTTATTTTTACAGACTATGTTGACATATTGGAAAGTGAAGAACAAATGCAGGGGCAGGAACTGAAATGCGGGCAGAAGGAAAAGCCAGGTGAGTAGTTTCTGTCTTGTGGCGTGCAGAGCAAATGAATGCTCTTTTTTCTAATATGTGTATAATATATATCATTTTATTTTATTTTGTTTTTACAGAGGATGTTGAGACTCTGGTAACAGAAGAACAGATGCAGGGAGATGAAGTGAAAAATGGTGAGATGGAAAATCCAGGTGAGTAGTTTCTGTCTTGTGGCGTGCAGAGCAAATGAATGCTCTTTTTTCTAATATGTGTATAATATATATCATTTTATTTTATTTTGTTTTTACAGAGGATGTTGAGACTCTGGTAACAGAAGAACAGATGCAGGGAGATGAAGTGAAAAATGGTGAGATGGAAAATCCAGGTGAGTAGTTTCTGTCTTTGACATGCAGGGTGAATTGTCTTTTTCTGATATTAGTGTGTGTGTTTGTGTGTGTGTTCTGAGTAATCAAACCCAGGGCCTCATGCATGCAAGGCAAGCACTCTACCACTGAGCCACCTACCCAGCCGTGCCCCCCATTTTTTTTTTTAACAGAGGATGTTAAGACATCAGTAATAGAACAAATTCAGGGTGAGGAACTGAAATGCATGGAGATGGAAAAGCCAGGTGAGTGGTTTCTGTCTTATTGTATGCAGGATGAATCATCTTTTTCTTTTTGTTTTTTGGGTCCGGTCATGAGGCCTGAATTCTGGGCCTGGGCGCTGTCCCTCAGCTCTTCAGCTCAAGGCTAGTGCTCTACCACTTGAGCCACAGCGCCACTTCTGGCTTTTTTTCTTTTTGCTTATGGTGCTGAGG